AATCTAAGATCCCTAACTCACATTCATACACATACTAGGGCCAACTTAAACAGGAGCCAATTAACCTACCAGCATGTTTTTTGGAGTGTAGGAGGAAACCCACTCAGGCACAGGGAGAACATGCAAACTCTGGGCAGGTGGTGCTATGGTTGGGATTTGAACCAACAACCCTAGTACTACCCGGTGGAAGTGCTAACCATTTAGCCATGGTTATGGCTTTCTTTCAGGCTTACTTTGTCTAATTGAACCCTTGTTCTGAACCACCTAAAAAGAAAAAAGACATTTCTTTAACTTATTCACTTGTGAGCCTCAGCTTGAGCTATTGTACTTTGTACATTAGTGTGCTAGCCAGTGGGAAGAATGTTTCTTAGATTTGTGCTCACTGGTGTCAGTGGGAGAATTAGTTCCCCATCTCTGGTGTCAGTGGAAGGAATAATGTCCCATCATTGGTGTCAGTGAGAGAAAAAGTGCCCCAGGAGTTGGATAAAGGCAAGCAAAGGACCACACTTTGGAGACCCCTGGCCTAGGTGATCCCAGTGGAAGTGGGAGCAGGTACCTCTGAAAACTAGATACCCCCCCCCCTTCCCAAAAAAAAAAAAAAAAAATATGGCAGAATGGGGAAGGGAGGGGGAGAGAAAAGCAGAACTTCCCCCTTTGGGGAAAGTTTTGCTTTAAGTGGCCTGCAGATAGCTCTGAAATTAACCCTACTGAATACTTAATTCAGACTACCCAGTCTACTACACCATGTTCTCGTATCTGAGCCTAAAAATCCTATGTTAAGCAAATGAGCACCACTTACTACAGACATACTCCAAAAACTTGTGTAAAACTTCATAAGAGGAGCAGAGGCTTTTATGGCCACAAAGAAGAGGATGCCCATAATATCAGTATGGAACGTCCAACATGGTCCTATTGGTGGGATGTCCAAGGATCTCCAAGCGTTGGCCATATAGGGTAACTCTACTGACTTTTGAGCAAAGCACTGCCCCTACAACTGCTGGGATCTGAAATTCCCAGAGAAAAGTTTAAAACGTGACCTGTTTTATCCACCGCTATTAATAAAACTCCAAATTCAGTCCTATTAAAAATATTAAAATAAACAGAATGGAGAATTTGAAACAAATCGTTTACAGGTCACAGTTACAGACGTGTCCGTAATGGATATTTGTATGTTTATTGCCAGCTGGCAACATCAGACCTCCCAGCTGTTTAAAGGATGCAGAAGATTTTTTGATCTTCCCAAAGAGTTGGAAGCTGCTGGAATCAAAGTAGCGAGTCCAAAGTATGGGAGAGGTTGACTTTGTGGGATTCAAGGATTCAAGAGAGGAGTTGCTCATGAACTTCTCTAAAGTGTATTTACAAAAAAAAAAAAAAAAGTTATAAATGGCTAAAGCTCCAGGCAAACAGGTGAATGGACAGATTAAATACTTTACCAGCTTTACCTCTCTGTATATTTCTATTCACTTCTGATAATTACACTGACTTCACTGGCTTACCACAGTGCATAGCCAAGCTGCCCATATGGAAAAAAAATATATTTTAAATATATTTTTAAGATATTCTTCCCAAATATATTGATATATACAGTTGCAAGAAAAAGTATGTGAACCCCTTGGGATTACATGGAGTTTTGCATGAATTGGGCATAAAATGTGCTCTGAACGTCATCTAAGTCACAACAATAGAAGAACACAGTCTGCTGAACATAATACTACACAACATTAGATGTTGCCATGGTTTAATTGCACATAACATGTAAACATTCACAGTGCAGGGAGGAAAAAGTATGTGAGTCCCTAGCTTAATGACTTCCCCCAGAGCTAATTGGAGCCAGGAGTGAGCCAACCTTGACTCCAATCAGTGTGGTGATATTGGATGTGTTGCTGACAGCTGTCCTGCCCTTAAAAAACACACACACCTGTTTTGGGTTTACTGGTTTCAAGAAGCACTGTCTGATGTGAACCATGCCTCGCAGAAAGAGCTCTCAGAAGACCTACGAAAAAGAATTGTTGACTTGCAAGCTGGAAAAGGTTACAAAAGTATCTCCAAAACCCTTAATGTTCATGTGTCCACGGTAAGACAGACTGTCTACAAATGGAGAAAGTTTAGCACTGTTGCTACTCTCCCTAGGTGTAGTCGTCCTGTAAAAATGACTGCAAGAGCACAGCGCAGAATGCTGCATGAGGTAAAGAAGAATCCCAGAGTGTCAGCTAAAGTTACAGAAATCTCTGGCACATGCTAACATTTTTGTTGACACATCTACAATAGGGAAAACATTAAACAAGAATGGAGTACATGGGAGGACACCACGGAGGAAGCCATTGCTGTCCAAAAAGAATATTGCAGCACATTTGAAGTTTGCAAAAGAGCACCTGGATGTTCCACAGCACTACTGGCAAAATATACTGTGGACAGATGAAACCAAGATTGAGTTGTTTGGGAAGAACACACAACACTATGTGTGGAGACAAAAAGGCACAGCACACCAACATCAAAACCTCATACTGTAAAAACATGGCGGAGGGAGCATCATGGTTTGGGGCTGCTTTGCTGCCTCAGGGCCTGGACGGATTGTTGTCATTGATGGGAAAATGAATTCCAGAGCTTATCAAGACATTTTGCAGGAAAACGTACGACCATCTGTCCGCCAACTGAAGCTCCGCAGAGGATGGGTGATACTTACAGGACAATGACCCAAAGCATACAAGTAATTCAACAAAACAATGGCTGCAACAGCACAGAATACGCCTTCCGGAGTGGTCCAAAATTACTCCAGATCGTTGTGCAGGTCTGATCTGCAACTACAGGAAACGTTTGGTTGAGGTTATTGCTGCCATAGGAGGGTCAACCAGTTATTAAGTCCAAAGGTTCACATACTTTTTCCTCCCTGCACTGTGAATGTTTACATGTTATGTATTAAACCATGGCAACATCTAATGTTTTGTAGTATTATGTTCAGCAGACTGTGTTCTTCTATTGTTGTGACTTAGATGACGTTCAGAACATTTTATGCCCAATTCATGCAAAACTCCACATAATCCCAAGGGGTTCACATACTTTTTCTTGCAACTGTATATATATGTATCGATATATATATATATATATATATATATATATATATATATATATATATATATATATAAAATACTAAAATTTTGTCCATATTATATATATATATATATATAATATATATATATATATATATATATATATATGTTGAGATGCATTTTTATTACAAAATATATGAAAAATACATTTCAAATATACTGTATGTCTTTGAAAATACAAATCTACATTTTTGGAGTGCATTCACAAATAAATTTAAAAATATATGTTAAAATAAATTTTTTATTTGTTACATAAATCTGAAGAATATAGTTAAAAAAATATATATAAATTGTCACCGAAACACCCGGAAAAAATTAGCCCATTAAATTATTTAATTTTTTCTCCATTTTTTCCGGGTGTACGGTGACGGTTTATGAGATCAAGATTTTCTCTCCTTTATTTCTTTTCATCTGTTTGAGGATTTATATGGACTTTAATTTGGACATTATTATGGTTTATTAATTATTATTTTTTAATTAGCGCTGCATTTCTTCTGTTTGAGGATTTATATGGACTTTGATTTGGATATTAATATTTATTAATTATTATTTTTTAATTAGCGCTGCATTTCTTCTGTTTGAGGATTTATATGGACTTTAATGGACTTTATTTTTTAATTTGGATGAGGATTTATATGGATTTATTGGATATTAATATTATTAATTTTATTTTTTAATTAGCGCTGCATTTCTTCTGTTTGAGGATTTATATGGACTTTAATTTGGACATTATTATTGTTTATTAATTATTATTTTTTAATTAACGCTGCATTTCTTCTGTTTGAGGATTTATATGGACTTTGATTTAGATATTATTTATTAATTATTATTTTTTAATTAGCGCTGCATTTCTTCTGTTTACATTTCGCAATACCGCCTTTATTTGTCAGCTGCTTCTTGTCTTATTCATTTATAATTTTTTTTGCTTTCTGGAGTAGGGGCGGACTGACAACTCATGGGGGCCCCCAGGGCAATGGGGGATCATGAGGCCCCTGTGTCCTGGCCCACACTCAAACCACACCCAAAAAAGCCTATGAAAGGTACCAGGGGCATCTCATGGGGCCCCTTACTGACCCCGGGCCCTCAGGCAGTGCCCGAGTTTCCAAATGGTCAGTCTGCCCCTGGCACATGTGTATTCAGGACAAATTTTTCAAGCCTTGTAAAATAAGGGCCATATGAGCATCTATCATAAACCTACCTAATGACTACAAAATTCCATTTCAAATAAAAAAAAAAAAAAGACAATGCGTATGTCCAGGCAATACCCAAATTCAGCCACAGGCCTCCCTCTTCCCCTTTAAAGCTTGTCCCAGCATTATGTTTTTTTTTAACCTTTTTCCTTTAGTAGGAAATGGCTTTTATAACTATGAATGTCACCATCACCATGCTGTAAATATTTTTTGCAGGGGCAGCTGCAAAACGCGTAAAAAAAACGCGTGAATCTAGGGTTAGGGAGAACTGGAAGTGAAAGTGAAACTGTAACATAGAAAGAGTAGGTCCTTGCCCCTGCTAGAAAGGGCTATGCAGAGCTGTGTAAATCACAGGACTGGATGAACGTTGGAAGGTAATACAGCACTCATTAATGCATTTGATCTCTAAATTTAGCTGTTTGCTCTAATATATTCCATAATTTCCGAATATTGGACGTTATGAAGCATTCAAGGAGTATGAGAATGAGGTCTGGTCTATGTTAGGTATTGCTTTGTTATCTTTTTTAGGTGAATGGTGGTCATTGCTATCTTTAGCAGGAGACGGTTTTTGTCATTCAGGACTAGACAATCATCACCTCTGACGGGCGTTCTCTCCCACCGCTTTCCATTTCTTATCTGAACCTTGGCATTCTTTAGTCTAGCGGCTCCCTCTGCTAGTTATTAACCATCATTTCCATTACAGAGCCCAGGATCCCGCTTCAGCTGAGCTCGCCGTGGAGTTAAAGTCGGAAAAACGGAATGACCAGCGTGGACTGCTGGGTGGAGGAGGAGGAGGCGGGACGGCTGCAGAGGTTAGACCGCTTTTATCTTTTTTTTTTATTATTTATTTATTGTGGGGTTTTTCTTGTTTTGTTAAAACCTTTTTTACTTTTGGAGTATTAATATGCACTATGTACTGTATATGTATTTAAAGTAATTCCAAATGTTTATTTTTTTTAACCTTTTTATACCTTCTGTGTGCAGTGGTTTTGCATAGAGCAGCCAGGATCCTCCTCTTCTCGGGTCCCCCACAGGCTCTCCTGGTCCCTCCCTCCTGTTGGGTGCCCCCACAGCAAGCAGCTTGCTATGGGGGCACCCACTGCTCTGTGTGTCCATTCACAGCTCACTCAGTCCTGCCCCCTCTTTCTTCTCATTGGCTCACTGGCTGTGATTGACAGCAGTGGGAGCCGATGGCTCCCGTTTTTGTCTCTTCAATGAGAAGAGGGACAGGAATGAAAATGCACACCTAGGTAGAATTCCCCTGGAGGTAGACCAACGGTGCTCCAATGCTTACAGTGTGTTCCTGGCACTGTGGACACCAGGGCCGGATCTGATCTGGGGGTGCAGTAAAAAAAAAAAATAAGTCAGGGGGCAGAATGTCAACACTGTGTGTGAGTCACTGATAATCTGTCACATAGTGTTACGACCCGGGAAACATGAGTGTGTATTAAGCTGGCACAGAACCTGCCCCCCATATCAGATGTCCCTATCAGAGTCTTCCTTTAAATCAGGAGTCCTCATCAGAGTCCCCCTTTACATTGGGTTCCTATCAGCTTGCCCCCTTACATCAGGTGTCCCCATCAGAGTTCTCCCTTACATCAACTGTCTCCAACAGAGTGCTTCCTTACATCAGGAACCCTATAAGATTTTCCCCTTACATCAGGGTCCCTATCAGAGTGCCTCCTTACATCAGGGTCCCTATCAGAGTGCCTCCTTACATCAGGGTCCATATCAGAGTTTCCCCTTACATCAGGGTCCCTATCAGAGTTCTCCCTTACATCAGGGTCCCTATCAGAGTTCCCCCGTACATCAGGGTCCCTAACAGAGTTCCCCCTTACATTGGGGTCCCTATAAGAGTTTCCAATTACATCAGGGTCCCTATCAGAGTGCCTCCTTACATCAGGGTCCCTATCAGAGTGCCTCCTTACACCGGGGTCCCTATAAGAGTTTCCCCTTACATCAGGGTCCCTATCAGAGTGCCTCCTTACATCAGGGTCCCTATCAGACTGCTTCCTTACATCAGGGTCCCTATCAGAGTGTTTCCTTACATCAGGGTCCCTATCAGAGTTCCCAATTATGTCAGGGTCCATATCAGAGTTTCCCCTTACATCAGGGTCCCTATCAGAGTTCTCCCTTACATCAGGGTCCCTATCAGAGTTCTCCCTTACATCAGGGTCCCTATCAGAGTCCCCCCTTACATCAGGGTCCCTATCAGAGTTCCCCCCTTACATCAGGGTCCATATCAGAGTTTCCCCTTACATCAGGGTCCCTATCAGAGTTCTCCATTACATCAGGGTCCCTATCAGAGTGCCTTCTTACATCAGGGTCCTTATCAGAGTGCCTCCTTACATCAGGGTCCCTATCAGAGTGCTTCCTTACATCAGGGTCCCAATCAGAGTGCTCCCTTACATCAGAGTCTCCATCAAAGTTCCCCCTTACATCAGATGTCCAGTCAGAGTTCCCCCTTACATCAGGGTCCCATCAGAGTTCCCCCTTACATCAGGGTCCCTATCAGAGTACTCCCTTACATCAGAGTCTCCATCAAAGTTCCCCCTTACATCAGGTGTCCCATCAGAGTCCCCTTTACATCAATTATCCCCAATAGAGTGCCCCCTTACATCAACTGTCTCCATCGGGCAGACTCATGGATCAGTGGATGCACTCTCAGAGACCTAGGTGGGGGGGGGGAGCACAACTAAAGTCTGAGTGGGCACAGCCCACTCCAGCACCCCCCTAGATCTGGCCCTGGTGGACACAATAGGAGTATAAGATGAAGAGCCAGCAACTCGTTCTCCCGATAAAAGTACTTTATTCATAAAGGGTTCAGTGTGCAGGTTACAGCAGCTTACGTTTCGGTAAAAAAAACCTTATTCATGCCAATGAGAAGAGGGAATGATGGGAATCCTGATGTATGGAGGGACTCTGATTGGCACCCTTATGTAATTGGGGCTCTGATGTGCACCCTGATATAAGGTATCTTACAATGATAGTGGGAACTGTAATGTAAAGGGGGATTCTGATGAGCACCCTTATTTATTATTATTATACAGGATTTATATAGAGCCAGTTTGCTCAGCGCTGTACATTATAGTGGGAGACAATACACGAGACAGTACAGTAACAAAACAATTCAATACATGAGGGGTTCGAGGGCCCTGCTCCTTGGAGCTTACAATCTAGGAGGGAGGGGATAGTGGTACAGGAGGAAATAGCTGTGGGGGATGGAGTGGTAGGAAGAGTGGAGGAGATCAGCAATTAGCTGAGGGCGGGGTAGGCTTCCCTGAAGAGATGGGTTTTCAGGGTGCGCCTGAAGGCAAGTAGAGTAGGTGATAGTCTGATGGATTGGGGTAGGGAGTTCAAGAGGATGGGGGAAGCCCTGGAGAAGTCCTGGGGACAAGCATGGGAGGAGGAGACCAGGGAACTAGAGAATAGGAGGTCTTGTGAGGAGCGGAGAGTACGTTTTGGGTAGTATTTGGATACCAGATCGTAGATGTAGTTTGGGGCAGTATTATGAACAGCTTTATAGGTCAATGTTAGCAATTTGAATTTTATCCGTTGGGCAATCGGGAGCCAGTGGAGGGATTGGCATAGAGGGTTGGCGGATACGGAGCGGTTGGTAAGGTGGATGAGTCTGGCCACAGCGTTCAAGATAGACTGAAGCGGGGATAGCCTGTGGTGAGGTAAGCCGATGAGGAGGGAGTTACAGTAGTCAAGGCGTGATATAATGAGGGAGTGAATGAGTTGCTTAGTGGTGTCCGGGGTTAGGAAAGGATGTATTTAGGGGTGACTCTGATCTAATTGGGGACTTTGAGGACCCTAATTAAAGGGGGGACTCTGATATAAGGGGATACTGACGGGGATTTTTTTTCTCAGCCCTCAAATATTTGTAATGTATTTGTTGTGGTCCTGGTACTGAAAAGTCTGCAGAGCCCTGGTCTATAACATCGAGGGCCATAGCTGTGTAGTGCTCAGAGATAGCTGAGCACAGGCAGAGCGCACAGGGAAAGTATCAGGTATTCTTTGCACTTAAATAATAAAATACGGTATCCTGATCTATATTAACTACACCCTTGAGCCTACAGAGGTCTAACTTTCACTCTTGAAAGTAAATAAATATATGAATAATCCTGTAAGAGCTCAGCAAGAATCCTTTAGGAATCCAACAAAAATTATTAAATACAAATAAAATAAAGTGGAAGTCCAAAAAGTCCCAATCCTATCAAAAATTATAATAATTAGTCACCAGTGTCCAAAAATAAAGTCATTCAAAATTATGATCCTAAAAAGAGCCACTCGGGGGGGCTCGACAGAAAAGATTTTGGCATTTTTTCCTTTTTGGGATCTGAATTTTGAATGACTTTAATTTTGGACACTGGTGACTAATTATTATAATTTTTGATAGGATTGGGACTTTCTGGACTTCCACTTTATTTTATTTGTATTTAATAATTTTTGTTGGATTCCTAAAGGATTCTTGTTGAGCACATATTATTATTATTATTATTATTATACAAGATTTATTTAGTTTGCTCAGCTCTTTACATTATAACAGGAGACAATACAGCAACAATACAGTTCAATACAAGAGGGATAGGAGGGCCCTGATCCTGGGAGCTTACAATCTAAGAGGGAGGGGTTAGTGGTACAAAAGTTAGTAACTGTGGGGGATGGACTGGTTGGAAGAGTAGAAGATTCCAGTATTAGCTGATGGCAGGATAGGCTTCCCTGAAGAGATTTCAGAGGTCGCCTAAAAGTGAGCAGAGAAGGTGATAGTCTGATAAGTTGGGGTAGAGAGTTCCAGAGGATGGGGGAAGCTCTGGAGAAGTCCTGGAGACAAGCATGAGAGAAGGAGACAAGGGAGCTAGAGAGTAGGAGGTCTTGCGAGGAGCGGAGAGTACGGTTTGGGTGATATTTGGAGACAAGATTGGTGATGTAATTTGGGGCAGAGTTTTAAATGGCTTTATATGTTATTGTTAATGTTTTGAATTTTATCCGTTGGGCAATTGGAAGCCGGTGGAGGGATTTGCAGAGAGGGGTGGAGGACACTGAGTGGAGGCCAGTGGAGGGATTGGCAGAGAGGGGTGGAGGCCAGTGGAGGGATTGGCAGAGAGGGGTGGAGGACATTGAGTGGAGGCCAGTGGAGGGATTGGCAGAGAGGAGTGGCAGATACAGAACAGTTAGTAAGGTGGATGAGTCTGGCAGCAGCATTCACGATAGACTGAAGAGGGGATAGCCTGCGATGAGGTCGGCCAATGAGGAGGGAGTTACAATAGTCAAGGCGAGATATAACAAGGGAGTGAATAGGTTGCTTACTGGTTTCCGAGGTTAAGAACGGACGTATCTTGGAGATGTGGTGGAGGTGAAGTCTACAAGATTTGGACAGTGATTGGATTTGGGGGTGAAAGGACAGATGGGAGTCTAGGACTACACCTAGTACCCTGGCATGAGGGGAGGGACTGATGATTGTGTTATTGATCTTGATGGAGAAGTCGGGGGGGGGGGGGGGGCACGGGCTGGAGAGAATACTAAGAGCTCAGTTTTGGAAAGATTGAGTTTGAGGAAGTGGAGTGATATCCATGTCGATATGTCTCTTAGTAGGTTGGTAATGCGAGAGGAGACGGAAGGGGTGAGGTGAGGAGTAGAAAGATAGATTTTTGTTATAGGGTTATTCATATAATCTTTGCACTTACCAAACAGATATATAACAAAACACTTTCAATGATCCATTCTGCAGACCAAATGGGAGCAATCAGAGAAGTCCATTGGGGTGTACACAACCTTTAATTTTTTTTTCTCCTTTCCTCTTCGCAGTGTTA